ACACTTTTTTTTTTCTTTAACTTTAAGTGGAGTCCAACCTCTGTGAAGCTCCAGCACGTCTCCTTTCTCCATCCTTCTCGTCACCCTCAGTCCACAATGTATCGGTCAGTGGTAGTCTGAGACAACAGCTTTCTGACTTGGAAGGGCCAGGATTTCACTATAAGCCACTTTTTGGTGAATATCAGAGATCACAGGTGAAACTATGAATTTCTCATAACATACTTTTTAGGATTGTACTTAGTATGATCTGATTGGTGGTTTTTGACATATATTGGCTATTAAATTTTGTTAATCAGGAGTTCATTACCCAGTTCTAGCTTACTAAAATGTTGCTGATATATCAAGGTTCCCACACATTTTTGAAATTGGGATATATTCAGGAATTCATTATGTGACTTAAAGCTTGTAGTACAAACTGGAAAGTTCTATAAGATAAATAATATCTAAGTCAGTTAATAAGTGTCTTGTTTGTCCCCATGAAGCTGTAATGGTAAAATATTGTATTTTATTTCTCTTTTTAACAATTCACGAATTTCGTTTTACAATTTTCCAGTCTTGAAGTATTTTGGATTTTTTTTTTGAAAAAATTCAGGAAATCCAGATAAGTTTGGAAAAATAAGATTTTTTAAAATCTAAGACTCCAATGTTGTATTCCTTTGCTCACTGAGGTCATTTCATTGGTCACCTGGTCATCATTTAGCTTAGGTTGCAACATTGTGTACCATTGGCAGATTAAATGATGTATGGCATTAAACTATGTACAGCTTGATCCAATCAGAAAGCACTATACAGTGGGAACTATTGCTTAATTAGATTTTGTGTATGTGTTCACAATTTGCCACTGAAGCTAACAATGTTTTGACTTTACGCAAGTATTTCTGAGGTAAATTTCCAAACTGCTCTTACAGTATAACATTTAGTGTTAGGGCATAAGTGGTTGTAGTGCCGATTGTATTTAATGGCTGTACTGTGATAGCTTAGCCTAGATGTTAAGATAAGCAAGTTGAAACCACTTTTCTCGTCAATGTGTCTGTAGACCACTTAGGAAATTTAAATTATAGCCTAATTTTTGGAAGATAAGAATTGCTACTGTGCTAATTGTTACTTTGCTACTGTAAGAACCTCATATCTTTTCTATTTGCTGAGATATCACTCATGTACTGAATGAAACACAGTGGCCCTGCTTACCTCTTTCCATTTTTGGAAATGGTCCCTTATATATGCTTACTTCAATATATGACATGTGAATATCCAATCGAAAGATACCTGATGATGACAAAACCTTGTCGAAACGTTGTACATTTGCTGTCATGTTAAACTTATATTAAAGTTTTTCTTCATTACCCGTTTAAGCCGTCTCCAGCCATTATTACATCTCAGGTAACATGGGTGAGCATCCTAACAGGTTTTTTTTGGGGGGGGGGGGGTCATGGGCTCTCTTTGCAGTAGCTGTAGAAGTATTGGGGATAATGGAAGTGCTTGATTAAGTCGGTACATTGGGGCCTTCAAACTCGGCAGCTGAGAACTGATACTGTGTGGTAGTTAACAAAAAAGTTGATTACAATCATTTTATGTACTTTCTCTCTGAAGGTTCAGCAGCTGCTACACCTTATTACCCAAGCCCGTGTTACAATAGCAGGTGTAATCAAGCTTCAGGAAGCTTCTCAGAAAAGTTGGTTTTCAGAACTTGTGGCCTCTTTTAGTCTTAATGAAAATTCCTATGCTGGTGATGAGTACAATGCTGTGGAAGCGAGAAAAGTTGAATTACATCTTGAGTCTGCCATCCATCAACTGAGCGAACTGTTTCAGGTTTGTTAAACAACTTTAATTTGTTGTGTGTGTGTGCTGAAAGAAAAATATATTGTTAGTGCTTTAGTCTGTCTTGATGCAATAAAATATATTGTTAGTGCTTTAGTCTGTCTTGATGCAATAAAATATATTGTCAGTGCTTTAGTCTGTCTTGATGCAATAAAATATATTGTTAGTGCTCTAGTCTGTCTTGATGAAATAAAATATATTGTTAGTGCTTCAGTGTCTTGATGCAATAAAATATATTGTTAGTGCTTTAGTCTGTCTTGATGCAATAAAATATATTGTCAGTGCTTTAGTCTGTCTTGATGCAATAAAATATATTGTCAGTGCTTTAGTCTGTCTTGATGCAATAAAATATATTGTCAGTGCTTTAGTCTGTCTTGATGCAATAAAATATATTGTTAGTGCTCTAGTCTGTCTTGATGAAATAAAATATATTGTTAGTGCTGTAGTGTCTTGATGCAATAAAATATATTGTTAGTGCTTTAGTCTGTCTTGATGCAATAAAATATATTGTTAGTGCTTTAGTCTGTCTTGATGCAATAAAATATATTGTTAGTGCTCTAGTCTGTCTTGATAAATAAAAATATATAGTCAATGCTATAGTGTGCTTGTTTTTTATGGAGTTGGAAAGATGGACTAAGTAACAGGATCTAATATATTTATAAATCCTATAGATGCTTTGGTTTTTACTTCTAAAGTTCAGCGTGTACATATTTATAAGGATGATAATATTAGTATTTTTAGAGGATAAAGTTTATTAAGTTATAACCACAATTTAAAGTCTGATCTTATGTAATTGTCATATTTAAAACATGGCCAGTTTCTGTTAGTCACAACCAAACTTATTTTATAAATGTTTCTTGGAAACAACACGAGTTCTCTTTATGAAATTTAAAATGATTATATCTTGAAAAACTACTTGTTCAGGGCATGGGTTCCCAAACTTTCTCAGCACAAGACACCCCCCCAGAACATTCTGAATCCTGACTGAGCTCCCCAAGGAATCTGTGTTTTAGGAGAACAAAATTTTAACAGGACACACTAAAGAACATAAGTTTTACTCAGGAAAGTTTGGACACGGTATAAGAAATTATTCATGTTTGTTATGAGACTAGTATGTACACAGTTTCAAATGTGAAAGCCATTTAAACTTTCAAGTAAATGTAATTGATTAAACAAACTGTTGCTCATTAATGAAACTGACTTTTTCCATTTACTTCCAGCTGCCCATAATCAACATGTCTTCCAGCGACCCAGTCTCCACAACACCAGACGTTACCTTAGTAGGTTCCTCCATTAAACAGCTGACACCAGACACAGTTCCCAGAGAAGATGGACCCCACCTAACACCACTAGGTCGATATCAACTTGTAAATGGAATTCGTAAATTTCCTCTTTGTTATCAAGGAAATCCAGATCTTCAACCAGTCAGAAGCTTTGAGGTGGCATTCTTGGTTCGACTACTTCATCATATATCAGCAGTGTTAAACGAAAAGGTAAAGCTTGAAGATTATGTTATATTGCATCAGTAACTCAAATTTAATAGTGATGTCTAAAGCGAAGTATTTTCTCAATTAATGGACTACTTCATCCACATATTAAACATCTACTCTGACATACATCCTTTGTATGTTTGTGTTACAGTCCTAATCATCATAATTTTCTGACATTATTTTTAAAAATAAATTCATATTGTTTGTATTTGTTTATATTAGATTTAATTATAGCATGCATTTCCAATTTTCTCATTTGGATTATTAATTTATCCATTTGAAAAAAAAAACGGAAACATTCTGCCGTAGTTCCAACAGTTAGTGATATCTCACAAAATAAATCAATTTGACATTATTCATGTGCTGTAAAACTGAATTTACATTCTATTTGGCTTCCAGTCCACCTTAGAATAGTCACTGATATTTATGTAGAAAAGCACATTATGCTAGAAAACTTTCACAAATAAGACTCAATTATTTGTAAGCATAATGAAATATTTTAGTACAATACTATATGTTTCGACTGTCTTCTTCAGGTATGATACAAATCTAAACAGAGAGGTTTATATACAGAACAAAAATGTCTCTAATGGCTATGGGCAACAGGATGTTATCAGGTAACGACAATGAATTGTCACAGTTCAGACCAATGCTCTATCGAAGCATGTAGTATGTATTAAAATATTTCATCTCGTGCGTAGAAATCGTTGTCTTATCTATTACAAATCATCGATGTGGTGAGTTTGAAACAAAGGTGAATGTAAATGCAGTTTTACAGAACGTGAATACAATTATGCAATATGAGTAATGTCAGGTTGCTGTGTTTGAGAATTTTTGTTTTGTTTTGCATTTTGTTAAGAGGAAGCAACTTGTACAGGGAAATAATATGCATATCAGGATAATGCTCATATTACACACATTATCAAGTAGATTACATGGGATTGGAAAATGTGTTACCTTTAAGGAAAACAGCAGCGACACTGGATGATACTCTCGTCCTCAGATGAGCTAAGCAAAGGGAACTCTAAGGATCAAGAGGGAGGAGGGTATTTTTACAAATCAATGTTTTTTTCTCATTCACTGATGAAGTGGCATGATTTCAAGAATAAATACTAGTTTACAACGAAAAATAAGGAAGTGCTAATTGAAATCATTGCTTCATGCTGGGTTTCGTATATATCTTAACCCTATGTTAGTCTTATGTAAAAATGTTCCATGGTCACTCTTCCGGGGTCCACGCAGACACCATCATAGAAAAATTAATTTTAAAATATTTAAATAATAATAAACTGTTTTGGAAACAAAATACACCAACACTCAAAATATTTTCCTTTATTAATCAATAAATGAACATTGAATATAACAATTTAACACAAACTAGCCAAATACTGAAGCTACTGAGAACAACAAACGTTTACGTGCTGCCATCTGTCGGCGCCAATGTTTACAAAATATTTGGGTTCCATGAAGACCCCGGAAGACTAGCGCAGGGTTAAAATTTGTGAGAGTAAGGACCCATTGGCCGTGTTTACTAGATGCAAGCATTTAGTCCAGCATTCACTACTGCACTTGGCATGCTTACTTTTCCAAGCTATTTGCCTTACAGGTGAATGATGGTGAAGTACAGGTTATTTTGAAAGGCATTTTAAATCAGAGTTTACATTTTTGACAATCAAACTTTGGAAAGGTGTGCACACTAAACTTTCTTACAATGAGCACTAAAACCTGAAGCATGAGAAGTTACAAACACTTTTTTCTCATTTAAGATCAAGTTATTTAAATACCTGTGGCTAAGGGGTCAGTTTTACATCAGTGATATAATCCTTAAAATATTCTACTGTACTTTTTTTTCTTCTTTTACAATTACTGTATATATATATATATATATATATATATATAAGCAAATATGAGTGGTAATAATATTAAACTGAGGTTTTGGTTTGAGAATTTTAATGGACTCCAACTGCCTGTTGAATGGCTTGAAGAAGGACTCACTATACAAGCTGAAACAGGCAGTTGGAGTCCATTAAAATTCTCAAAATGGGCTTGTCTAGTCTGCCTAAAGTTCAACGGAAACAGAAAATAAAAGATAATACTTGATTTTTTTCCCCCCTTCAGTATGGAGTGGAATTGTATGATCTGTACTACAGGGACAGCTTTCTCGGACAACTCACGAGACAACTTCTAGCTCCACCAACACTCTATCTAAAAACGACCAAAATGGGGACTTCAGCATCATCACCACGTGAACCGCATGTGCTACCTCCTCGCATTAACCTCAGGTTTATGGCATACCAACAAACTATTGGTTATTTCCTTGGACTGGTTTTATTTGGTTATGTGTGTGGCTACAAACCTTTAACAGTTATCTTCCTAGTTTCTGTTATGGCATTTTTTTATTGTGTAATGAAAGCATTTTTTAAGCCCATACCACCTCTGTCTCTCTCGAGTAGCTTTGAAAGTTTGGAAAAACACAGGTAAGAGAAACTTGGCACTTGTTGAGAAATCCTGCTGTGAATTCTGAAGTCATTAAGAAGACCTCTACGTTGGTCTTTAGTCATGTCAACCCAATAAGTTACTGGAAGGAGCTCGGGGGAACAACAGCATGACTAATTCCTAAAGCATATTGCATCTTATGTGTGATCCGTTTTAAGCATGAGTTTAGATATTAGCCGCTGATATTTCAAAATGGAAGTTTCAGGAAAATAGTAAGATACTATAAAGTTAAAAAACAAAGAATTTCTCACAGATATGTCATTGTTGAAGGTTGCAGATTTTGAGGCTTTTTGAAGAGTATACTTATAGTTGTGCTGTAAAATGTAAAACAGTTAATTTCAGGATTGTGATATAAACAGTAATTGTGTGTTGTCTCTCAGCAAAATTAATCATTTTTAAAAGCTTTGTTAATAAACTTTGTGAAAAATAAAGGGTTCTGTAATTTATACATTTCTTCGAAGACTTGATTTCGCATTATTGTTAGTTACTTCAGACAAAGCAAATCTAATCCGTCAACAAGTTAGAGATTCCTTTAAGTGTTACTTACAATATCGTCTTTTGTAAAATGTCTCGAGTGTTATTCAGATACCTTCTGTTTTGAAGAGCTTGTTATTTTTTTTTACACATTTCAGTATCGCAACCTAACATATTTCGTAGTTTCAGTGCATGCGATTATCTAGTTTAAAAACAAAAACACTAATATAGTACAAGAGTTAAGCTAAGAAATTGTTTTATTTCAAACCCAAGTACACATTATCACAAAAAATGCAACTATTAGATCACTTATATCCTAGTTGTATTAAAATACAAGTCTGCTTTTTTTTTTGGTAAGTATTAATGTACCTGCTGGTAAAAAATTATGATGTATATAAACTAAGCAAATGATACAAGTACAATTAAACAATACTATGGGACAAAAAAATTTATTGTGACCTTGCACCAATTATACATCGTAAAGGACTTCACTCAAGCTAGTAAATCGATGGGTATTGACTATTGGATGAGATAAAAGTAGTAAACATCTGGTCGAGATGTTTTAATGGCAGTTTTGTAAACTAGAACTAGGTATTTATAATATATTTTAATGGTTAGTGTAAGCTAACTCTAGGTGGCCGAGGTCCTATTGCTAATAATGCAAGTTAAATTGGATAGTCATATTTCGATGGCTGGTGTTCTTGCTGGTAGTATAAAGTAGAACTGAGGAGTCATGATTTAGTTGACACATGTTCTGGTGTTAATGGTGTTAGTTCAGACTGATGTATCAAACTAGTCTTACGTGTATATGAAGCTCTGTTGCTTGTGATGTAATTGTGGTGATTATAACATTCTGTTGCTTGTGGTGTAACCTATAACTAGAATACATTAGTTTTAGAAGACTGAGGATGTAATTGTGGTGAGTTATAACATTCTGTTGCTAGTGGTGTAACCCAGAACTAGAAGACTGAGGATGTAATTGTGGTGATTATAACATTCTGTTGCTTGTGGTGTAACCTAGAACTAGAATACATTAGTTTTAGAAGACTGAGGATGTAATTGTGGTGATTATAACATTCTGTTGCTTGTGGTGTAACCTAGAACTAGAATACATTAGTTTTAGAAGACTGAGGATGTAATTGTGG